GTGGGAGGGGGTATGCAACTGCGCCACGTTCTGTACAATAGCACGTTTGTATACCGCCTGGCAAATAAATATACATTCAATAATTTCACTCGCTCGTATGAATTGATTGATTGTTTTACTGCATCCACGTTGTAAAAGTTGAATCGGTGGATATAAGTTTAGTTATGAACCTGGACTACTAGTGTTTCGAGAATAATAATTATTGAATGCAACAGGGAGTTCAATTTTTCTACTTACAGATAAAATAGGATAAATTTTTCATTTTTCTCACATCTGTTTCTTCATTATTTATTCTTACGATATTACATTTATTCACCTCATCCATCGTTCATATTTAAACTCAGACGTACTCTGACATATACAGAATTTCTATATATTTTCTATATCTAATAATATATAGTGTTTGTATGTAGTACATACTATGTACTGCATAATTGCTATTCATGATAAGATTCCTATGTGCAGAGAAAGATCGGACTGAGAGAAAACTTAAGGATATATTTCAATAAGTGGACAGTATTTAATGATCATTGTAACCTACATTGCAAATAACTGATTTTAAACGAATTATTAATGAGTAGATTACTAAATAAACCTTATCGTCAAAAAAACATAGCATTTGTAGTGACAAAGTAATGTCTCCTTGAAATAATCGGTAAAAAATACCAATACCTATATTCATTTAAAAGCAATCTCTTTAAAGCTCGGACACTCTGTAGAATGCACTCAATTAAGCATAAAAATAAACAAATGTTCTGCGCAGTTACTCAAGCACCCAAGAAGGTTGGGTGTATTTGCTAACTCCTCATGAGCCTATGACATTACGAAAACGCTCGTACTCATAAACCGCTAGTCTTTACTCTAGAAAGTTGGTGGTTGGGAAAGAAAGGTCTGCAAGAGTGAGATTTGTGTGAATATAAATCATTCAGTTTACTTGTAATTGTTATAGAACTTAAGTTAGAACAATGTACATTTTTTTATTTTATAAAACTTGTCTACATGTACGTACGTGTAGCCTACAATCAATCCGGTCGCCAGAAATCATGCCTTTCACAAAACCCTTTTTTTCACTTTTTTTAAATACGACGTGTAGAGGACGTTAGAAGTGTAATGTTGCAAAAAATCAAGTCGAGATTTTATCAGAATTACGTTTTGATGTCCTTGACACTAAGCATTTTTTCGAAACGTCAGTCCGTGCGTCCGTCCGCCCATCGGCCCTCTGTATCTGTCATTCGGTCAGTTGCTCTGTGAATAACATTACTAAACCGTACCCAAAATTTTCTCCAAAATTGATATTCTGTGATTAATCTAGTTGATGGTGCGCTGCCTCCAATTTGAAACATATCTTTATTTTGGGAGTAATTAACATGAATCCCCTATAACATTTTCAACATTTTAGCAAAAATTGCTCCAAATTGTTTTCTGGGAATTATTTTGCTCAAATGCAGTAAAATATGCTTACAAAAATATCCCAGGTCTGATTTTTAATAAAACCTCTGAAATTTCGGAAATTTTAAAATGTTTTTATGTCCTACACCTATATTATTGAATTTGAAACCGATATTCTTATCTTTGGGGGTACTTTATATGAAGTCCTGAGACATTTTCCAAATTTCCCCCAAAAAAAAACAAAAAGAAAAAAGACTCCATCGTTTTAGATTAAGTTGGGTAGTGTGAAGGAATTTTAAGAGGATGATGCAGGTCTCATGTTCGTTAAAAACTTATTTTTGAAAAATTGAAAAAAAAAATCAAAATTTTTCGGCGTCTTTCTAAAACTACAGTAATGAAGATGTAGAGTTTTTTCTTAATGAAATCTTTTCCTTAAACATAGATTTTGAAATAAGTTCAATTCATTTCGAAACTTTTTCGAAAAATTTTCACGTCATTTTGCGAGCGAGAAAGTACGTGCTACCTTAGCTCCACTAGTTTGAAAATATGAGAAGCTTTCGCTTAATTTCAGTAATTAGTTTTGAGTTTTTGAAGCCTGAAGTGTTAGTAGAATAGAAGGTACAATATTTGTTAACAATTACACGAAAAATATATACATTTCTAGTTTAAATTTAACGTTTTTTATGTGTTTAGAGTCTAACGAGCCCTAACGAGATAGTGCCTAAATGGTATGTAAATGCAAAATATTGTACGTACTTATTATTGTATTTACACAAATGCAATGCATATATTTACTATTTTACGTAGTATAATTGATGTACAAATGTATTAGAATATAAATAACACCAGCGGCGGTAGCGCGATCGACGCAACGCCTTAGGGAGAAACGCAGCGGTGATTGTGGGCTTCATCCAGGTTCGAGACCTGACGTTTTCTTGACGAAAACAAGTTTGAGGCACCTTCTGGAACAGAATTCGTATACGTCTGCCTTTTTTCGAAATATCCACGATTTCTTCATTACGACGGGCCAAGGACCGCTCGCGGTCTTCCCTTCCATTATTTTCTCTTCCCATCCAAAACCCCTAGTTCTGACTGGGACGCACTGGGAAGGTGAACCCTCCCCTACCCCTCTAAAGCAGTATTTACCAGAGGGGATCAGCAGCTCATAGAGAATGGATCAGTGTTAATAAATAATAATATTAATAATAATAATTCAGAAGCACTCCCAGGATTTTTCTCGGGGAGGAGGCTGTAAGTAAAGTCTCCATCCGGTTTGACGTTTCCTTATAAAGAATTTTTCATTTTGTTGAATAGAAAATATATTTTTATTTTTAAACTTATATTTAATATTTTTATGAATATGTATCAACGGCTTGTGGTGGCGGACTGAAGACCCGTGAGCCTCTCCCACAGGATGCATCACTGGTAATACACTGGTAATAAAATATGTTGATACATAATGCTTTAGGGTTTAACTTCCAGTTTCCTTATTTGGTATAATACGCCTTTAGAATATTTACATACTTTTTAAAATTCGTTCTATTTACGCCCTAAGATTAACCGATACAACTAAGGTCTAGTAGAGTTTTCTATAACGAAATATAACATCACAAAAAAGAAACGTCTGTGCATAATCCTGTCGGCCTAATATAAAACTGAAGTAAATAATTCTATAGTGAAATAAAACTTTATTTTATCAACACGAAATATTATTGTAATATGTCCTTCTTTTGCCATTTCTGTACACTCAAATCTTTACGTGGTGTTCATCTCTAATGATATTTAGTATAACGTACTTAATTCTTTCTTTTGCACTATTTCAACTAATCAATTAACGTAAACCAAAAAATCATATAATTTCTATTAATGTAATGCAAGTAGTTTAAATTATTAGATGTATGCAATATCGTATATATCCCAACTAATATTCATTCTAATTAGGAGGGAAGGTATTATCTCTTTGTGGTTTAAAACATTTTGTAACTGTTAATTTGACTTACTTTCAATACAACATTAAGCTGATGACTTACCTTTGTTGTACACCGTTACACTTCATGTGCACAAGAACCAGTAAATAATTGGGTAAATTTATTTTGGAATTTTTGAAATATGATGAATTGAATATGAAATAAGTGAACTAAACTTTTTCAACGGGTGCTCGTTGCTAATATTTTCAGCTGGCCCGAGATGATTAATACAACCGAAACACTTGGTCATTTGTCTGGACACCAGGAGTAAATAGGGCATCACGGAAGTGGTTTTCACTCATTTCTTAGTAACAGAAGGGAATTGGCAACTCGAAGAAGTAGCGCTTTATTTCGTTTCAAAACATCATGACCCTCGTCGTATCTCTCAGTCGCCTATCGTTTGGAGGGTCAGAAACCAGTTCTCTCACAGTAGATGAGAGGCAATTCGCAACTGTAAACGTGCGTTGGATGCTTTTAGATTCTATAGCCATTGGAGAAGAAGTGTTTACATCATTAAAAAGGGGGAAAAGACGTCAATACTACAAAACGTTATAGAGAAACACAGTTCATCGCACTGCAATATCACGAATTAAGCGCAAAATGAAGTGTCAATGCCAGCAACTTTCTCTTCTTATGTAACGTGCGACTGGAAAATCGTCGCCTCTTTCTTCTTCTTGCAGAGTACATTTGTTGTGGGTCAATGTCCAGAGAGTTCTGATTCGAGAAAAGCAGGTACCGAAGTTAGTAGTAAAATATGTGGCGTAAGATGATAATATTTTCCACGAATTGAATTTCCTTAAATGGTTTGTCAAACTTTGGATAAATCGGATCTTTATTTTAGTGGCTTATAAATACGTTCGGGATAAGATACATAATGAAACGTAGGGAGTACATTTGCCAAATGCACATTGATATAAAATAAAAGTGCAAGCCATCAAGGTCAAAACATTCAGTACACCTGCAGTCGAATATGATTAAGTGATTTGACTTGAAGTTCACGGCCAACGATGGAAAATACAAGTTCGATTATATAATTTCAAATATATCTTAAAGGGGAAAAATATGCGCCACAGTGTTTTGCAGCACTTTGTACCAGTCAATTAAAGGTTAATTACAATAAAACAATTCGAATCAATAACTGCTAAGAAAATATTCAAATCGATAACTGATTATCGTTTCTAGACTTTATGGAAATATATTTTTAATAAGTTAATTAATTAACGAAAAAATATTTCTACGCGTGGTTAACAAAAGCAACAATTGTCTTAAATCACACGATAAGTCTAACTGTTCCTTTCACTTATATAATTAGATAATTGTATTCACTTACAAGAAAAATGTCAATTTTGGTAAGTAGTATCCACTCTTATTCAGTATCTTAAGTAATAAATTATATCTATCTATCATATTGGTTACATACGATAAAAAACACGCATTAATAAAGCGTCTTCGAATCATGCAGTAAACCAAACGTTATGCAAAATAACGAGCATTTTTCATTCTGTGCAATGAAGTATGACGAACATGCTATAATGAAGTACAATAAAAGATTCCATTCTTTTCATTAGACATAAAAAGCCAAGCGTCAGATAAGAACTGTGCGAAGCGCTGAAGTTGCAAACAAATCATACTTCTCGTACTTACCATGCATAGGGCCGATAATAACCATACAGCAGACCATCAGCATTATAACTCGCATCTTTCGATTTCCTTTTCCTTCTTTAAATACGACTTTGAATGTTTCTATCACGTGATCAATATCAAAAAAGTCTCTTACTGTGGCACACGTCTGACCAGGGCGAGGTTTATTCGAAATAGGAGTCTGAGTTTTTTCTTCTTTTATATGGGACATACCATAGAAGAAACTGATAATGTACAATGTGGCTGATATGCTAAATATTCCGTAGAAGCCGATTTTGACGTATAGCACTCCGCTGAGAGCCATTCCGATCGGTATCCCAAGCGACACGAAGAGGTTGACGATGCCGATCCTCAGCGTTCGCATTTCCACCGTGGTGACGTCCCCGATGTAGCTGAACACCGCCATGAACATCGTGAACCAGCCCCCGGTGATAGCAGGAAAGATGGCCTCGCAAGCCCCAGCCACTTCCATTGGCAGCTCGAAGAAAAAGTAAGTGCACAGAATAAGTCCCATGCTTGTAAGAAATTCACCGATGATTGGCATCAACATGAGAGGTTTCCGCCTGCCATGCCGGTCGGACCAGGAGCCCAGAAACAGCATCATGACGGACGGGATGGCCGATTGGACGATGGTCTTCCACACCGTCATCCCGGCCACGAGCTGCTGGACGCTCGTTTCCTCCTCTGTGTAGTTAGCCGTTTCTCGAGCTGTCAACGCCTCGCACACTTTCGTCTCGTAGCCGAGATTGACGTAACATGCCTTTTCCAAATTCAAATTCTGCGTGGCCAAACTCGCCAAGACACTGGGCATAATATAACATGCGAGCATGGGTTCGACTGTAATGTTGTTGACGAAGTAGTCCCAGTGCATTTTGGTTTTGTCCCATGTCGACTTGCATTTGTCCCCCTTGGCTGCCTCGCCCTTGCCCGCCGCGGGCGTTGAAGTCTCCGCAGCCTCTCCCATGGCTGTCCACCGAGCGACTGCAGAGCGGCGCCGCGTTGGGTCGGCGCCGCGCGGCCGCCTGTGCCACCACCGCCGCTGCCGCCGCCTCCGCCGCCGCCGCCGCCTCCGCCTCCGCCGCCGCCGCCGTCGCCGCCGCGGGAGTCCCGGTTCGGCGCTCTCACGCACCGCCTCCCTTCCTTCGGGCCGCTCTACGCACCGAGTAGCACCAGAGGAGGTGCGTGCATCGATGTCTATCGCGTCGACGCTATCCTTAAAAGTGATTATGCATGTTAAGATAGAACATCGTTCTCCAACCTGGCGACGTTACGACTATTTCCGTCGACACTCGTCACGTGTAATTTGGTGAATCCCACGAATTTCTTGTACAGAACCTTTCACAAACAGCAATGTATAATCTTCCCTCCCAGTATTTACGTTACGAAACTAAATGTGGACTTAATACTACACATTACAAGGGGTAAAAACTGCGGGAGTGTTTTATGTTGAAGTCTGACAATTTATATAATGAATCCTGTAGGTGTTACATTAATGTCCTAACTTCCTTTCAAACTTACTTCCTAACTTCTTCTTAACAAAGCATAGGAAAACATTACGTGTCCAATATATCATTAAGATAATGCGGCATTACGAAGAAATATCGACCTTGATAAAGCCTACTTAAAGTGCATAGAGTTCATTATCAAATATATTTTTTTATTACAAGATGAGAACATAATGTACTCAAGCATTGACGAAAAAAATGCAAACAGCAAATATTATTTATTATTTGAAAAATATTTGTTCTGACCCTTACGCTGAATGCTCTAGTGTTTCGAAGTACATGAAAACATAATGTGAGCTCTTGGATGGCCATAAGATGTACGCCTTCACATGTACGCTTTCAAATACGTTTGCATGAAATGTGGCCTTAATACAAACAAATATAAGAAAATTCGTAGACTTTTCGCAGGAAAAGATGATGCTGAAAAGCTTCTGCGGGAAGTGTTTGAATGTAGAACTTACAATTCTATTCTAACGAGAGAATACTAATAGGTGAAAGCACGGTAAAATTTAGTGCCATTAATGTAACATTTTATATAATGGATGTACCTCGAATAGATTGTTGTTGTTTCATTACTACATTCAGAATGAAATTGTCAAATATGATACACAGCAGTTGCAAAGTATGTTTTTCCAAGCCATATGCATTTAATTTTCTTTAATTCTCCAGTTTTAAATTATTCACAATTCGTCACCCACTTACGTCTACCTCATTCTACAATACATCAGACGCACATACATCAAAGCGTGAAACCAAGTGCATCGTGCTTGAACCACTTTGCGTTCAAGCAAAACGTGATAGTACTAGTAATAGATAATACTAAATAATAGTATTGAGATGATTCATTGTCTTTTTCATTTTGATTTGTTAACGTAGATATTAAAAAAAATATTAAAATAAAATCAAAATGTTCCGTCAATGTTTTTATTTCAACACCAAAGTTTCTCGATTTCATACTGATAGGACAAACAAGATAGGAACAATCTAGAATACATACAGCGAAACACACTCGAATTAAGGCTGAAACGGAATATCCTTCACCAGGAACTACAAACATATTTTTATCGAGTTTTTCTCGCACTGTGCCACCGATGCATGGCCCCGCAACGCGATTAATCGTGACCCCAATCGGGTTTTTGCTTGTTCTGGGGCCGGCGCGGCTGTTCATGACAGTTGACTGCGTGCCGCGCGTCGCGGGGGCGCGTGACCGGAGGCGTCAACCGCGGCGTGGGCGCCTTCCGCCCCCCTTCCGCCCTCCGCCCCCGCCCCCGCGTCACGCCCCCAGGGCAGCAGACGACAGAGGACAGGGCGGCGGGAAAGCGCGCCGCGCCAGCCTTCGCGGCCGCCTTCCACTCCACTTGGTTCCATGCTCGTGCGCTAATACCGTTCCGCTCTCGGGTTCAGCAGAATAGGCGCGGCGATATCGGCCGTTGCCGCTTTGTAAACGGCGTCGTGTTTGTTCTATTAGGCCTCGGAACTGAGGTTGGAGAGGGTCTATACCTGTTGCAGTCACATGGTTTCGTTGCATATTTTTAGACGTCTAATTTAAGCTACTTTCGTTCCATTTTCGAAAATAGAACGAAAGATGTTAAACATTTCGCTCTTAAACAAAATAACTTCTACCGAAATTAGTAAAAATACCAAAATGAAGGATGCAGTACAGCAAGCCAAAGTGAGTAACTGGCGTTGGGGAGGACACACCATGAGAATGGGCCGATAGCGATGGGCGTACACTACAACAACCTGGGATCCTCGGTTTGCCTGAAGAAACCAAGGGAGACAGAAAAAGATGGACAGACGAGCTAAGTAAGATAGTTGGTCGTCCCTGGACGAGATTGGCCCAAGAGAAGACAACATGGAGACAACTGGGATACGAACAGCAAAAAGGAAGTTGATTTTACATAATATCAACCTGATGTAACCCTGCTAAAGCAACTTGCCCTTTGCCCTTTACGGAAGGTTGTAGGCTAATAATAATAATAATAATAATAATAATAATAATAATAATAATAATTTAAACTAACACAATGAAAACTGATAATAAAAATATTCACATTTTACGCTTTTTATCATGTTGCATTTTCGCAATTGATTGATTGATTGATTGAGGGGCACCTGGTCCCCTCTACGTGGCACCATCCTAGCAGAGGTAAGCTCTAAGCCCCCGAATTGTCTCCCGACAAGTGTGGTGGTGTAGTGACAGTGTGTATTCGTTAGGGGTGAGGATAGGACAAGGAAAAGGAAAAAAAGATCCCGTGCGGTCCATGGCCCGTTTGTTAGGGCACTGCTCCGGCATTTCGCTGGTGTTGATCGGAGAAACCACCGGAAATTACCGATTGGAGCAGCTCGCTGCTGTAATTCTCCTCCAAACAGTAAGTGAATTAGACCCAGCTGTCAAGCTAGAGTGATTTTTTTCGAAATTTATGAGTACTCGTTATTTTTTATTCGGGACATAATATTCACAAGCTAATCAAAATGGTGCATGTTCTCATTTACTTTTTAAGGACAAGGTGAGAATTAATTATAAGCCATATTCATGCAATGTTAAGGTACAGATCATTTAAGGTTTAGCGATCATTTGAAAATAAATGGAAGACCACGAAGGTGTCTTGAAACATTATCCTCCTTACGTCTACAGAATGGAAACATACAATGCTGAATAAGAAGAGGATTGTTCTGAGTGAATCGTGATTTGGTCAACTTGAACATTTCAAGTGTAGCTAATGCTAGTGCTTTCAGTGCCTCATTCATGGACTATTCTTGCACAACCTCGTATTCAACTCCTGACCGGGTTTGTAACAAATCACAACACGTTATTTGTCGCATCTATTTCTGACAACCTTCTTTTCCTTCTCCTCTGTTGACGATCGTCGTGTGCTTCAGTACGTATTATTCGGAATTTGTTATATCTTAAATTATGTGTAATTTCGAAAAAAAACATTTCCCTAAGTATCTTTTGCAACGTTTGCTTAATCATGCTATATCTTGATTGATCGACACAGTAGCCAAAGGAGTTCGCAAACACATACTACTGCATTTGCCAACAGAAGCTTAAGATGTTTTACTCCCATATTGCGATTATTAACTCTAGGAAGAAAATCTTGAAATAACTTCAAATAATGTACATAATGTAATTATTAATATTATTTTTATTTTTTTAATCCTCAAGAAAAGGGAGTAATTTATTTATTTTTTTTTTCCATAGGAATGTCCGCATATAACATTTTTGTTCACATTCTCCTTGCACATGATTCTTTTCCCCGCTTCAGTAGTGATTAGTACTTAACATTTACTTCAATTTATATTGCTATCAATCAAATATGTTTCATATATGGGTGAAGAGATTGTATGTAAGTCGATAGTATATTTTTGCGAACCAGTTTTCAATTCCTTCTACAGAGCGTCTTACTTTGCTAATGATTATTCTCTGTGAGAGAAAATCTTGAATTTGGATATGATGTCCTCTTGGGAATCACATGGCCTACTGAATAAAAAAATAGTCATAATTTTGTATTTGCAATGCATTAACATTAAAATCGCAGTAACAATGCCAGTAATTATCCCATTTTTAATGCCGAGAAAGACAATTCATCATTATATACCATTTTTTTTACCAATAGACCATGATTTCCGAAGCACTTTATGCAAAAAGACATTTAGTACAAATTTAAAAGATATATCCCAAGTTGATGAGATTTTTCCCAGATTGCAGAGAATTTTTAATGTGATGATATTCGGCTCTCAAGGTTGTAATTGGAAATGCGTTAGTGTTAAAACGATGACCGATAACGAAAGAATAAAGGGCCGAGAAAATGTTTCCGTCCTGTAAATTTTCATATTTTCTTTTTTTAAGGTCGCTCTTTACCATCTTAATCATATAGCGACCACTATGATTATTTTATCTGTAGTGGGGATCTGTAGTAAGAACACGTAAGGACAACACGAACACACATAAACATACATGCCCAAGGCGGTATTAAAACCCGCAACCGTTCGAGGCGAGGCAGCTACGGCTCTTCAGTCAGCGATTTTGGCTATCCCTGCCGGAGGACTCGCATCTTTGCAATTGCAATTTTTTAATGACGTCTGCTTTCAGTTGTTAAACATATCATGAAAAGTTCATATGTTTATGTTAGAATGATGAATATGCATGCATCAATATTATATCATTAAGTCATTTATTTCAAATACCCACATTGATATTTAGTATCGAAAGTTTTTGAAAGATTTTCTATTTCACACTAACTTTCCTATTGGAGTATTACATAACTTAGTATATGATAAGAAAAGCAAGAATGTAAACAGTACTTGAAGGAATGTAGTAAATGCCGTATTCACTATATCTGGATTGCAACCTGCAATCAGCCGCAGTGCGTGCTCGTTCTGAAAGGTGTGCACATAAACTAGTGCATTTGCTTTTTCGCGTGCCTCGCAGGCGAGTGCTCCAAAGTGCTTCTGTCAAGGTCTT